GGGGGGGGGGGGGTTATGGACTCCCCCTTCCCCGCTGACTGTGCCTCAAATGGGGTTAAGACTTTCATAATTTACAAAGTTTTGTCTAATTTTGCCGATGTCGTCCTATATAAGATAAGTTTTGTAACAAATATTACAAAGTCTAATGGCAATAATTGACAATTACTCAATCCGAAAATCCACTTGTCAAATTGTGGAAATTGATTTATTATTTATTTTTGTGTGTGTGTTCTAATATGTTGTAAACAAGTGTACGTAACCATTCAATGTTATTTAATACAAAGTTTAAGTACCCAATAAATATATTCATATACATTGTAAACTTAGTTTACACGTATCTATAGTAGATACAAATTCTGTTATTGTAAATGCTTATAATACAAGCACGCTAAGAAAGCAATATCATTTCTTTGGGGGCGGCCGGGGGGAGGGGGTGGGGTCTAAAACGAAATGTTTTGAAAAGCAAACAAAAATGGCTAAAGACATTATTATATCGATAGGCAATATTATATAAGCATTATATTACTACTGTATACTACACATGCTGGTACACTGTTACATTTTTTTTTATTTATACGACTGCATGCTCCCTTCTTAATCTAGCTTAATCTTACAGGCCTATAAAAATACCAAAATAAATACAAAAGAATGGAAATGCGATATTTTTTCGGATAATAGATGATGACAGATCTAGTGACGTTCATTAATTTTATTAAATTCGATTTTTTTCGCATGTCTCCTTCCTCATTTATACATATAAAATGTATGTACTTGGAATGTACTTGGAATATGTAAATAATTTCTATGTGCACGGGATATGTGTGACATATATATTTATATATAGGAGAGATTAATTATTCACAGTCCAGTGCACGGTCTGTCTCAATGCAACTAGCAATTTCAGCAATTTAAAAACGTAAAAAAAAAAAAAAAAATTAATTAATTTATATAAAATATAAATCAAATTCGTAAAAACTTGGAGGAGAAAGCATTAACCTTAAAATAATTATAACAATAATTTTTCAATCTCCCCCCCCCCCCTAAATTATGACTAGTATTTTTTTGGTAAGATTTGAATTATTAAATTCAAACTATTAAAGGCGATTTTGGATACTTCGCAGACTTCTAGCAAAAGATATTGAATTTTTTTTTTACATGTTTTTCCGTAAAAATAATCAATGTTTCTTATGAATTTCATAAGGTTTTATTTGCTAAAATAATGAATATATTTATAGCGTTTCTTGAATTTATTGCACTTGGGTGTAAAACTTCGCTTGTCTACGGGCTCAAAATTTAAATTTAACGATTCGAAGGAATTTCGACATTTGTATAATTACACAAAAAATCGCCTAATTTCCATCATAGAGTGGAATTATTCTTAAAATAATTACAGTTTGAATATAATGACGATCAATTTTATTGACAAAAAAACCATATCTTTTACAAAGCATAATTACTTCAAATGTTTTATCATGATAAATTTAAAATGTTTTATCATTTCGATTTGCGGCTTTGTAAGCAATTAAAATTATCATACTATAGTATATCAAAAAGAAAACTTTTCGTCCTGTCAAAAAAAGTTTCGCATTTTGAAACAATCCTATCAGGTTTTGCGTTTATTCTATCGTGAAGATCGTTTATCAGGTCTATCGTGTTTTGCGTTTATCGTATTTTCCGTTTATCGTGTTTTGCGTTTATCGTGTTTTGCGTTTATCCTATCGTGCGTGTATCCTGTCCTATCGTGCGTGTATCCTATCGTATCGTGCGTTTATCCTATCGTATCGTGCGTGTATCCTATCGTATCGTGTATCCTGTAAAGAATAACGATGCGGGTACTGTACATACGTTAACGGTAGTGAATCCTGTATGAATCCTCGCTTGTTGCGCTCTACATTCAATCTAATTTACGGAAAATCTTTATACGTTTTCTAGTCATCACCCTTTAATTCACCTACAATTTTTAAAATCATTTCATCTCCTTTTTTTCACAGTGAACAAACAAATCCATGTTTACTGTACACAACTTACTTATAATGATTAGTGTTTATAACCTAGGTCCCAGTAATATTTCAAACGTATCACAAAAATAATATTTTGCATTTACATATATGTCATTAGAGAGTGATATTGGAATAAGAGATGAATACCCGCCTCCCCCCCCCCCCCCGCAAGAAAACTAAAAAGTCTTATACCAGTATATCAAATAGAGAAAATTATTTTTTAATGCAAAATGTGAATAGAGGAATGTTTAGACATAGTAAACTAACCTTAAATAGTTCTAATTATATGTTTAAGAAAGTTAAGACATACTTAAGTCACCTGTACCGACCGCCTAAGTTTTGCTAAGATTGTCAAATCTTAGCACGTTTCTAGTTACGGTCTTAAGTTTAAAACTATACTTAAGTCCTACTTAAGCATGGTCTTAGACTTAAGTACCCTTTATGTTACGACCCCCTGGATCTTAAGCACAGACAGATCCTGTAATTGATAAATCTATTTGATAAAAATGTTCTTTGTGTCTTTATTTTCCAAAATAAAAATTCGAAAATCATATAATGATAATAGTTTTTTTATGCTTGGGAGCAAAACATCAAATGTTGCACTCCTGACATTTTTGGGTATGCACATATACTTGACTCTCATTAATGCTGCTTGTGATTTATATAACATTTTTAAGTTTTAAAATGTATATCAGTTATTGTTTTACACTTCGAAAATTCTCTTTTGTCTTAATTTTCTTTCAGAATTTTACAATTGTGATGTTTTTTTGGCAACACTACATTTTTTATGTTGCACTCCTGACATGGTATAACATTTTTTTAAATATCAGCCATGACCACAACTTGATTAAACAAAAGTTATGACAGTCCACATTTAAAGCTCAATACTTTGAATATTATCAGGAAAGTCTTTATTTTCAACATGAAGCATTATTTTTTATTTCACAGATCTCCAAAAAATATTGAAATTTCAAAATGTCACAAAATGGTGTTGCACTCCTGACAATTTTAGCATCATTTTTGGGCATAACTTTTTTGTTATTTGAGATATCAACGAGATATTTGGCAGGTATTTAGACACTATCTAAAGACATATGCTGAGACATAGAAATCTATTTTCATTGCCTGTATTTTTAGTGTGGGTTGATAAATATGCATTTGGTCATTTTTTTTAATTCACCCATATGTTTTATTCTCCTTATTCCCCCTTTTTTCTACTAAAGACCCGCGCTCCTAGATGGCGGTGGAAAGGGTAAAAAATACGTTTATGCAAAACGAAAAATGAATTTGCGAAAACATATCAAAATACAAACAAACAACTTAAAATAAAATCAACAGATTCAATTGCAAAATCAACAGGCTCCATTGCAAAACGGAAAATCGCCGATGAAAAACAGTCATTAACTGGATTGACGCTAGATTGCTCGCAATAAAGATGGGCCCAGGCCAAATTGAAAAGGTATACGTCAACAGGCTGAAATGTAGTGCATATAGGAAATTCATACGCCTCATTTTAATTTGACAATAAATACAGCTGGCTTTTTTATGATACCTCTTTGTATAAAGGATTTTTGAAATAAACTTCGTAAGCTTCAAGGTTTTCAAGCAACTGAGAAGGAGCGATTTCATGTTGGCAGTCCTCAAAATTTTGTATCTTTTTTATGTACTGTGGAGGAAAAGGCAAAAGAAAATCTGAAGCTAAGACACACCTGGTACGTGTACTACGGGGACACCTCATATCATCCGCTGTAGCAAAAACATAGGATTGGTGGAAGAACAAATCTGTTTAGATTTCTATTTATCGAGATTCCATACATACAAATGTACCTTTTTAAATTGAAACCTTAGAATGTTTCTATCCTGAAATAGCCCACCTCCCCCTGTCATTTGATTCTTTGAAAATAGCATTAGAGACAGCTAAAATTGAATGATTGTGACGTTCTTTTTAAGGTAAGGTGCTTATGGACAGAAACTCCACCCCGTCTTTTGAAATATATACACAAACTGACCAATGGATTTGTTTTACATGTTTTATTTCACTAATTCTTCTAGCACTTTAAATATGCGTTCATCTAGCATCAATTCAGTTAATGATTTTTGGCGATCGTTCGTTTCAACGGAATTGTTGATTTTGCGATTGAGTCTGTTGATTAATTTTTTAGCTGCTTGTATTTTATTTCAGTACGTTTTTAGGCAAAAGTAATTGTTTTTTATGCATTAATGTCTTTTTATACCTATTCCGACTCCCATTCTCCTAGCCTAGCCATTCAACTTGATGGACGTTTAATACAGATAAAGAATATTTGTAAATGTGCTTGTCCTGGTAAGAATTAAAGTTATGAGTATGTATAAAGTCTAGTCCGTTTTTATTGTCTGTTTAAATGTTCGTTTTCATTGTCTTTGTTTTGTGCGTTTATATGTTGTGTGTAATTGTTATATTTCAGGGTTTTTTCTTTAATAACTTAATAAAAGTAGGCGAAACCTAAACCAGTCTACACATTTATATTGCACTAAGATTCATTTGATTATTTGGAATAACGGAATCTTAAGCAATTATATGGCAAATGAGGGGTTTAAAGTTTTCAATAGTATAGGTATAATAATAATAAAGCAACTTCAGGAATACAAGTGTACAATTTTTTTTTAAATCACAATCCTGTATTATTACGATTTGTATTGTCAGATGTTTATAAATTTTTGTCCTCTTAGGGCAGTGATGGAATCAGAAAGGTGTAGAAATGAAAACAAAGAAATGGATAAGATCTTTTTAATTTTTCGTCTTAAAACCTAAAGTGGTAAAAATTGTCAAATAAAAAGCAATCATTACATGCTGTATCGAATACAGTTTGTTCAAACCATGGTCTGCTTTGCAGGAGTATAAAATCACAAAAAGGGCTTTCACAGAGTGTTTAATGTTTCTCCGAAAAAACTAACACAGTCACACTTCGGTTATCTTAAACAGTAAATTACTGACACATCTACATTTCTCCTCGTTGTTAGTTCTGTGGACCACGATGGATGAAGAACAGTTTCGATAACAATACTCGTGCAATGAATGGGTTGTGTTATGAAGTGACATTTGGGTTCCTAGAAGAAGGTAATTCCGGCTTCCTCGATCCCGAGATTTTAAGTGGACTGTACAATTCCGATGCCGACGATCAGTTCCCAGTGGCTGAAGGCTCTGCAGCTAACCTGACCATAAGATATGGAGTGTCATCATCAGGACTTTCCATTAAATACTATGAAGGAGATGTAAGTAGAATTATATCATGTTTACTGATCATAAGGAAGAGCGCGGTATGTTAAGGAAGCATACAAATCATTTCTCGGGAAATTTAGACTTTCTGAAGAAAATTAAGATTAATAATTCATCAAAGTCTCCGATAAAACATAAACTATTACTAACTATTACATAAAGACACGGAGTGTCCGAGGCCAAGTAGTGCACTACCTCGAAGTCATCACGTGACCGCTATTAATAGCAAAATATTCCTTAATGAAAAACTTCACAGAACAACACTACCCCGGGGTTAAATAATTTCTTTGAGTAAATAGCATAGTTGAAAAACATCTCTTATGCCTAAAAAGTGCTGCTAGAATCCCACTGTCCGATCAGGAAAATAATTATTCCACATATATGTACGAAACCTTACCCGATATTTTGCATTTTATGCATATAACCCGAGATATTTCTACAAACCATTTTAATTCACGATTCTAGCAGCACGTTCCAAGTATTATAGAACACAAGCTTTCGATATGTACAAATCTTATGTTTTTAAGTATCCAGCTTAGTGTTGTTCTTTTGCATTATTGTTGTCACGAATGACAGAGGAAAGGCCAACCGGGATACGTAAATAGCTGACTGTCTTCAATAGAAGATATAATCGATGAAAATAAATCAACATACCTGTTTAACATACTTTAACTTCACATAAATAACACACAATATTCACGGTATTTGCTTCTAAACCTCCTTTTACATATCTTTTAACATGCCGTTTTGGCCAAATTCTCGTTACACAACATGATCGATTCTCAAGTTCCTTGTTGAACAGTTATGACGTCATTGGTCGGAGATTATAATTCAAGTGACAGATACAGCAAAACAAAATAAAAACATTTAATTTTTGTTAATATTTGCAAATTTCTATTCATTTTCAGGAGTCAAATTATATCTCTAAATAGCAATATTAGGAAAACTTGTGTTCTAAAATTGACGTCATCTCGCCTACTATGACGTCATATTGTATCACTGATTTAGTCAAGTCAGATTATCTTAGTGCTTCCTTAACACACCTGCGAGATTTTGTCGATCAGGAAATACTAAAGAAGTTATTCATAAAATTTGAAGTATATGTTTATCAAATGTTCGTAGTAAACACTATTCCATGTGATAAAGGTAATGAAATTAATTTTTTTCATTTTAGGTTTTAGTGGGGTCACCAGGTTTGAATGATCTTGCAGGTAATCGTATATACGACTGTGTGGTTGTTTTTGTATTGAATTTATAACATCCCAACAAGATAGTTATTCTTTAACATTGAGTCTGCAATTTCCAGCTTTATGCCAACAACTGTTCCTTTACAACAGATTCATTAAATTGTAGTGCCTGACAATAAACTCAAGGTTCTTTGTTTTTCGAGGATTCTGCTTTACGTTTATACCATCGTGTTTAACTTTCCTCTGTATAATTTATTATCTCTTTTCACGAGTCTACTCTGCTATGGTTTTTGTTGTTTGCTTTTCCCCAAAAATATAAAATAAAACTAGTTTTGTTATTATGGCATCCAGAGTAACATTGAAACTTTCCTCTCAGATTAAAAAAAAATTGTAAATATTATGCGATTTATTAATATGAAACACAAATATGTCAACTCCTTTTGAGAATTTTTAAATTTTAAGATCAAACATTTTCCATATACCGTTTATACACAGAGTAAAACATCTAAATGGTAATAATAATGATCTTAAAACATGTCACTGTGTACAGTTTTGAATTTTCTTGTTAGGTTAAAAGAAAAAAGACATTTCACTATTGATTAATAAATAAAACGAAACAAAAGAATAATAAAAATTGAAAGAATATAGCGAACGCAACGAGGGGCAAAGCAACGCCTTGGGGAAGAAAAATTCGGACTGAGTGTTCAGCAGTAACTTCTTAACTCACAATGCTTTGTAAATTGCATCTTACTGCAAACGACCGCTTTTTTTTTTTAGACAACTAATATTCACCAAAAATAAATTCACCCTGATTTAACATATTTAATAGATTTTGGAGAAAGATAATAGATTAAACTTTTTTGTTGTTGTTGCTGTTAAAAATTTGCACTTTTCAAATTCGTTATGAAAATGCACCTAACATCAGACGTCATGTGACGTCACTGTCTAGACATTCCAAATGAAGAATCAGTAGACCTTTTCCCAGGAAAATCTTACGACAAATTTCAATGGTAAGAGCAATCTTACGAATTTTTCCTTTTCATAAATTATTTTAAGAGCTAGATTCTTACGTGTAAAATCTCTCGTAACTTTACGAGAGCCCTATCCCTCTCGGAAGTATTTTAGAACCGATTTTATAGTAAATATGTAAATCCAAAATACATCTTTAAATTGAACTTTTAGGCATCCTATGATATCATTTTATATTATTATTTCACAATTATTGTCGAAAAATTAAATGAATTATACTGCAGAATATTTACGATGGCAGCTTCTCTTAAGATTATCGTATGACTTGCTTTTACGTCAGACTTGTGATTGTGACGTCAGATTTCAAACTTCATCCCTTCACAATCATTTGCACTCGATTTATGTTGTGCATTGTGTTTATTTCACTTACAAGTGTTGAAAACTTTGCTTCATTTTTATTCTCATCCACTTTCTAAGAAATTTAAAGCATACTGAGATCGTTGCTAGGGAAGATGTCTGTCGTAATTAAAATTTTAAGTTAAATCTGCTACGAAAGCATTGGTGAAAAGCACTAAAGAGTTTGCTTAAGAGATTCTTAAGTTAAATTCTTAGGCAAAATCTTAAGATTTGTTTAAGAAAAGGGCTACAGATCTACCGGTAAGTTAAAAATGAATAGGTATCATGTAATATATATCTGCGCTCGTCCAAACAGTCTTACCGTCAACATATTCATATATACTGCATATTAAATATCATTTTATAGAACGGGTTTTCTAGAGATATATATGATAACTCTTTTAGTAAAGAAATTCTTTGCAATAGGTGGAATACTCCGTGTGAAAGGTTCTGGCTATTCCGTAAAGGCTATGAACACTACAGCATCCAAGCAAGGACAAATGTACGGTAGGTAAACATAATAGTAATTCATTTTTTCTCACATGAAAGACTCCTGGAACTGAGTAAAGAACTTGTAATTCTTATAATTCTTAGTTATTCCACAGGTCAATATAGAAGGGAAGACCTGAACACTTTGTCAGAATGGATTTAAGTGTTTTAGAAATATAGTTAAGATTCTATTAAAGAATATAAAGGCAATACACCAACCATCTTTCCTTCCATTTTCACTAAATAGGAGGTGATGAAATAATTAGAAAGACTACATAAACAATATGTTATGGTTCAAGCAGAAAAAACTTGTAGAAAATTGTCTTTGTTTGCAAGGCCCATTATTACTGTATACAGGGAAATTTTCGCCCCGTTTTAATTTCGCCCCTTTCGCTCTTCTCACAGGTGGGCGAATTTAAAACAGGGCGAATTCAAAGAACACAGTATACTTTCTTAAACAGAACTGTGACAGGGCGAATTTGAAACAGTGCAAAATTGCTTGCACGTGTGATAGGGCGAAATTAACCCTGTATAAGTTTAACTGTGTTTAAGAAGAACTTCGTTTTCATTCTACCTCTGGAAATCCAACTCACACTTACAGCTCACTTTCTAAGGATGATTTTTCTCAAAATCACATTTCAAGTGTTTAATACTTTTAACATTCTAGTCAATGAAGATGAGTTCGATCTACGCTACCTATATTGGATTCCAAAACTTTATAATTATCCTTACAAAGAAAGCTAATTGCCGTATCTATCAAATGCTCTTCCTAGCCAATTCTTCTATTCCTTACAAAAAATATTAACTTTTGTAAAGGAGAAACTTCAGACGTACTGTGCTACAGCATATTTTAGAAGTAGTGTTAATCAGATCTGGATTCTCAAAACATTCCAAAAACTTCAAGAGAATTACAAATCACCATTTTTTCCCCAAAAGTTAATAATATCAGCACGTTCGACTTTTCTACACTTTATACAACCATTCCTTACAATAAATTCAAAACTAGGCCTTTTTGATATGTTAGACAATTGCTTCTTCAATATAAATGGAACTCGGATAATTTCGTATTTTCTGAATGACCATCAAAAAATTACTTTTAAAAATCACCCTGATTCCACTTACAGATACTCTGAAGTTGTTAAAGGATGCTGGAGTTTTGCATTGACAACATTTATGTAGTCTTCGTAGACCAGATTTTTCAACAAATTGTTTGAATTCTGATGGAAACTAATTGTGTTCTTTGATTATTAACCGACTTGTTTTTATATACTTATGAAACAGATTTTTTTCTCAAAAACTTACATGAGAAGAAGAAAGCACTTGCTGTCACTTTAAAATCGACTTTCAGATATATTAGTTACTTCCATTCATATGTCGTCTCGATCTAGATATATCTAAGTAAACCTGAAATAAAAGACACCAAACAGTCTTCCACATGTGTTTCATATTTCGATGTTTTACTGATTAAAGACGATATTTGCCAATTAATTACTGAAATGTATGAAAAAGGAGATGCTTTAAGCATTTACATTCTCATTTTTATCAATTATGTAGTAATATTCCGCTATCATCTGCATATAGGGTCTCCCAACTTATTCGATACCCGAGAGCATGCTTTGAGTACGATAATTTATTAAACCAAGGCAGACTTCTTACTGATAAGTTGGTGTTACAGGAATTTCAACAACCGTGTTTAAAGTTAGCCTTTCTTAAATTTTTTGGTGGTTATAATGACCATGTAAGAAATTTTTACCTAAACTGGGTCGTATCTTGTCTGATGTGTTTCATACGAATTGTAAGACCTTTGTTTTTAAACTAAATTTGACTACGGAGTGCTCTGTCTATCTGATCCATTCATGGGGTTCACGGCAATTGTGACCCGTTAACAGGGGATGCTTACTCCTGCAAGGCACCAGATCCCATCTCTTGATTCTCCGGGGTCCGTATTTTATGCTCTGATCAAGATTTGTATTGTTGGTTGATTTTTTTAAAGATCGATCACTGTTTGATATCTTCACTTTTTTTTTCATTTTATAACTGTTGGCATGGTAAAGAATAGGGGTTATTTTTTTCAGGTTATGATATAAGTATTGGCAGGTTTTATGGAGATGGACAATACTATTTTGCCATTGGTGGTCCCAGGGACGGAGGATCAGGAAAGGTTTGAGTATATTAATTTTATTGGAGATGATAATTTTATAACTGAATACTCTTTTTTAGGCACATGATCCTACCTCTGCTGTTTTCGGGGGTCCTTGTTCTTGCCTTGTTTTGGATTGTATTGTTTGTATGATTTGTAACTTGATTTCTGTTCATTTTTTGTCACCTGTTTCATTAGCACCAAACTTTGCTTATGAAAAACACAAGAATACCCTTTAGTATGAGTGAGATAGATTTAGATAGTATCAATGTTTTGAAATCGCCGAAATAATCTCTGACTTTCCTGAGATTGACATGTATTACTATAACACAATGTAAACAAAAGACATCATTTCAAATTTAAAAGAGCCTCAGACCTTTGTTTTGATGGGCAGGTACAATGTTATCATTTAAATAATTTCTTTGTTTTTATAAGCGGATTAAAAGCCATTATATTATCTAAGTAATTGTGAATCGTTGAAAAAGTACTAGTATTCTGCATTTTAAACAGAAAAATATACATTAATTCTTGTGCAAACACATCAGAGTATAGTAAAACGGTTTGAGTTAGAAAGTTTTTCACTTTACTTAAGGTACTTATCACAGATTCAGAGCATGTTGTCAAGGAGACCTTAGTTGGAATAGAGGTATTGAAAAATACTTTACAAGATTATATTTCAAAAATAATAAATAGACTATATTGACAAAAATACTAATTTACTTAAATCATCAAGCAAATTTGTGTGTTTTTAAAGCATAGTATTCTACATAAGTAAAAATGAAAAATGCAAGAAGACTAATTGTTATTCAATTTAAAAAAAAAATAAACCAAGGCATGCATTATTTTCTATTTTCAGCCTGGTAGCTATTTTGGATCTGTCTTGTGTGTTGTACCTGGAATAGGTGCTGCTACAGACCGTCTCCTTGTTGGAGCCCCATTGTATAGTGATATGCAAACCTATTCTAATAACTACAATATCAATGAAAACCAGGGTCAGGTGTACGTCTACTGGAAAAATCAGTCAAATGTAAGTCGAGGAAAGGTAATTTAAAATGCTAATGATGCAAAATCCAATTTGAAATAAAAATATTTTGTGTGGATTTCCTGAACAAATTTTTCATTCTGAGTTATATGTTGTAGTGAACTTATCAGACCTTGCTTTTATTGGAATACTACAAGCTTAATGTGTAATATCCCTCTGATAAGAGAGATAACTTTCCAAGGAAATTCTTCCAAGCAATGTAATGAATTGTCTTACTAGAGTTTAATAATGAGGACTATTATATAGTCAACTCATTCAGGTTTGAACTATGGTACAAATATTGATTTTTATTTTCTTTGCCAATATTTTTCATTAATTACTTTTTTCCCTAAAATATTTTGAAGAACGATGACTCCTTAGATGGAAATATAACTCTTGTAGATGGATGCATTTTTATTTTACATACACAGATAACAATATTCTAACAATATGTAATATTCTGATTTAAAAAGCAACGCTTCATTATGTTTTCTAATGTGAATTAATAGGCATGATAGTAAAAATTATTTTCATCTATACCTCATATTTTTAATTTTATGGTGAGATAAAAAATTACTGATCTTTCTATTCACCATATCAAATCATCTTCATATCATGATTAGATATAATATCCATTTCTGAAAAAGTAAGCAACGCTTCATACTTCAAGCTATTTACCATTTGAATCTAATGCTATTCATGTTGATGAAAATCAATGTTGGGAATTACAAAAATGGTGAAATTTGGAGCAGAGGGACATTTCACCTTAAGCTAGTGTCAAAGAATACTATATATTACTAATATACTAATACTAATATTTAAAAGAATATAATGACTTTTATGTAATTAGTAACATCTGAAGGCATTTTAAGAGAAAAGTGAATAATACTCTCCATTTATTGAATTTATAGAACACACTAGAAAAGAAGCAAAGTTTAGATGGATCCAGTTCTAGGAGTAGCAAGTTTGGCTCTGCAATGGCTAACGTTGATGATCTCAACAACGATAATTACAACGGTAACAACATTTTAAAATCATCATTTTGTTTTTATGCAGGGGTTGATTGATTGACTGATTGATCGCATATTGTTTCACGTCCCATGCGAGAATTTTTACTCATATGGAGACGTCACCATATGCCGGTGAAGAGCTTTAGATTTAATCTTTTATTCATAATCAGGGCCGTTGAGCTGTGAATGATCTACATCTTGCGAACACCTACCGTACGAGAATAGGGGCCTTATTTTTTAAGGTCTCGTCCGAAAGACTCGCAACTTTCACTCAAAAATGCCTAGCACTTGGCAAAGGAACAGTTGCTACCTATTTTTATCGACATAGGTCTGTCCCGCTTAAGTCCACGATTCTTCAGCCACGGAGCAAGTTCTCTATCGACTGTGTTACCCTGGAGCTTTTATGCAGGAGATACATGTACCAGTTAAAACATTAAGGAGAAAATTAATACCGCTATTTTATTTTTTCTGTAATAATCATGATTGAAAATATTTTACCACTTGTAGTAAAAGGAAGAAAGACATTTTATTGGTTAAATTTGTATCAGTGTATAAACTCTTCACATAAATGAGAGAAAGTCCTTAAAATGTAGTATTAACGATCCGTCATAACATTGATAAAAGACCATGGTACAACAGAAATTCAACACTTATTTCATACTTAGAATAACAGATGGCTTTCAAAAACCCGGATATCTGGATCTAACTTGATTAGTTGTAAATGTCCTTTATTCGTGTAATAGGGATATGTTAAGAAAAGAAGTGGAAGAAAAGATAACAAAATTTCATTCTGAAAAACAATGTTTTTAAATTCTAAAATACTGAGTAGCTGCAATAGTAGCATTTGCTTGAAAATATCTCTTCCCAATATCCAGAAGTTGTTAATGCTGTTTTTTTTTTTTCTCAGACTTATTTTCTATACAAATAAATATTACTTAAACATTGTTCTTTAAAAGGCACAAGGGAAAGAAAGAGAAATTTTTATTAAAATCATTTTTAATTAAGATGTTCAATCCCTAGTAAGAAACAATAGCTTAATAGTTAAAAGCATGAATATTAACTAGGATTAAGTCTATTTGTTTTAGGCCTATGACAAATAAACAAAAGAAGAAAAATAACTTCATTTTTGTATGAAGTTTTGCTAAGGTCATAGGATATTATATGGCTTGACCACATGACTTAGAATAAGTCCTGTCTATACCTGATGATGCTACATTAATCTTTACATTTTTAGTGTGCCATAATAAATTAGATGTAATAAAAACATGGTTTTCTTTGCTGAAAAAAATTTACACGTATTTGATAAACATATGTTTTATTGTTTGTATAACCATCTGAACGATGTTTGACAATTTTCATGAAAAAAAACTTTAAATTATCAGAAACAGAAACTACAAACTATAATTTTATTTCGTATCAAAAAATATAGTTCAACCATATACTCTAACACTTTGCAGTGGACATTCCTTCCCTTATAATTTGATGGGGGGAAATATAACGCTTGTCTATAACTGAAGGAGTTCAATGTCTTACGTGATTTTAAAAGGAATCGATTTAAAAAATCTCTGAATTCTCTCACTTATTAGGTCACAAAACGCTTGTTGGGCTGTAGCCAAAATAACTTTGCTCTTGACCATCGTATCTTTTTTGTCTGTAGATGTAGTTATTGGGGCCCCCTTTGAGAGTGATGGACAGGGAGCAGTGTATGTGTATATGGGGTACAAGAGAGGATTTTACTTGACACAGACAATTACTGCCGCAAGTGTTGCCCCGTCTGGTACAACACTTTCAACATTTGGAAGTTCCTTTTCCCAACATTCTGTAGATTTCAACAACGATAAACATCGAGGTATGTATGAATATTAACACTATAATGGGAAATATATGTGTAATTTAAGCATTTGGGTTGTAAAAAATATGATTGGTTTTGTTCTTATGTGCATTTGAAATAGAGTTTCTGAATAAACATAGACGAAAAAACTCACATAAGTGCTAATATAATTGATATTTTAAAACTAACAGAATTGAACATACATGTACTTGGGGTATACTAGAAGTAAATATTTCTACCTTTCAATTTACTACCTTTTTGCTTTTTTTTTTCATTAATCGCAGAAGCATGTTTACAATATTTCGACAATTCAAATGACCATTATCTGATTTACTTAATTACATGCATATTATTTAAAAACTTCTTTCAGACTTAAAAGACTGATTTGCTTGTGGGTTATGCTCTTTCTTAGCATTGAGCTTGTGATGTTGTTTAGTATTTTGTTTTCTCATTATTCTGGTGCTGTTGCTGATAATTTCATCAGCAGATTCTTGCCATATCTTATAATAATGCTTTGGTAACATAAACCTAATGACCTTTGAAGTGCCTTTTATCACATTGTTCAGAAACACAGGACAGGTGGATATCATAAAATTCACTAATTTACCAATTAAAATCATTTTTCTTATGTGTAGAGAAGAGTGAATATCAAACTTGTTCTCTAACTTAGTTGTCATTTTTAGACATAGCGATTGGTGCATACGGGTCAGCTATGGTCTTTGTCCTCTACACAAATCGTCCAATTACAATGAGAGTTGATACCAGGACTAATCTTGTGTCATCCCCAGGAGGATCGAAGTTTATTATTGGACACAATACAACAGAGTTCACATTTAATGTCTGTTTTGAATACGAGGGCGATAATATTCCGACTGATGTTTGTAAGTCATGTTAAACAGACACGTTATTGTTATGATATAATTAAATGAATTTATGAAAGCCCAATTTCATTTACAGGAATCAGTGATGTTCTCGATGTTTATGATCTTATTTAAAAATGATGCAAAACAAGGAGATTATAAATGAATTACCAAAATTTAGTAACAGGAATATCAGTTTGTATCTCTTGTTTACTTCAGGTCAACTGTAAACATACACATACATGTACATACAACACACTAACAGCAAAATATCAGAAAAAAGGGATTTTTCTAATATGACAATTTTTGGCAGTGACATATGAAGTAATTGTTGACAAAACCTTTCTATTTTAGTGGTGACCTATGAAATAACTGTTGACATGACCTACCTTTTAATCTGTGACCTATGAAATAACTGTTGACAAAACCTTTCTTTTCTAGTGGTGACTACGACTTAATCTTCCCTTTTTTGGTGGTGATTTAAGAAGAGACTGTTTACAGAACCTTTTTTAGCGATGACTTCTGAAGTATCTGTTTCTATTTCGCAGTAATAAAGTAATTGTACACACACCCTTCCTTTTTTCTGTAATCTATTAAGTAACTGTAAACACAACTTTTCTTTTAAGTGGTGACAAATGAAGTAATTGTCGATATAACCTTTCCTTTTTAGTGTGACCTATGAAGTATCTGTCGACGTAACTGTCGACACAACCTTTCTTTTTTTAGCGGTGACCTATGACGTAACTGTCGACACAACTTTTCTTTTTAGTGGTGACCAATGAAGTAGCTATCGACACAACCATTCTTTTATTAGCTGTGACCTAAGAAGTAACTGTCGACACAACCTTTCTTTGTTTAGCGGTGACCTATGAAGTAACTGTCGACACAACCTTTTTTTTTTATAGTTGTGACCTATGAAGTAGCTGTCGATATAACCTTTCTTTTTTTAGCGGTGACTTATGAAGTGAATGTTGACACAACCTTTCTGTTTTTAGCGGTGACCTATGAAGTGACTGTTGACATGACCTTTCTTTCTTTAGCGATGACCTATGAAGTAGCTATCGACACAACTGTTCTTTTTTTTTTTTTAGCTGTGACCTATGAAGTAAGTGTCGACACAACCTTTCTTATTTTAGCAGCGACCTATGAAGTAACTGTTGACCACCTTTCTTTTTAGCGGTGACATATGAAGTAAATGTCGACACAACCTTTCTTTTTTAGCGGTGACCTGTGAAGTTACTGTCGACACAACCTTTCTTTTTTTTAGCGTTGACCTATGAAGTAACTGTTGACACGACCTTTCTTTTTTAGCGATGACCTATGAAGTAGCTATCGACACAACCATTCTTTTTTTTTAGCTGTGACCTTGAAGTAACTGTCGACACAACCTTTCTTTTTAGCGGTGACTTATGAAGTAACTGTTGACACAACCTTTTTTTTTAGCTGTGACCTATGAAGTAGCTGTCGACACAACCTCTTTTTTTAGCGGTGACCTATGAAGTAGCTATCGACACAACCATTCTTTTTTTTTTTAGCTGTGACCTATGAAGTAAGTGTCGACACAACCTTTCTTTTTTCAGCGGCGACCTATGAAGTAACTGTTGACCACTCTTTTTTTAGCGGTGACCTATGAAGTAACTGTCGACATAACTTTTTTTTTTTAGTGGTGACCTATAAAGTAACTGTTGACACAACCTTTCTTCATACAAGTGCCTCCAGTCAGGGACGTGTTTGTTTTAATCAGCCAGAAACATGTTCCAATACAATGTCCCGGAGCATCACAATCTTCAAAGCTTCTTCTGAATTCAAGTGTCCGGATCCTCCCCTTTACGTTGTTGTTCAAGATGATTGGGTAAAAGTCTTTTCTTAATGTTGTATTAAGAAGTATCCAGAAAATGAATCATCACTTTATTTTCATAAAGTTAGAAGTTTTTTGCAACAAGCTTAATATTTCATCCATGAAAAACATTAATGTAGTTCATACATGTATACAATTAATTTTATTTTGGACTAGAAATAAACGACATTGATATTTATTATCAAAATTACAAAAAAGTGGAATTTATCATTTTAAAAAAAATATATAAGCTCTCAATTCTTACATAGACAAACATGAGAGGTTTGTTTGTTCCTGTGGACTTTGATGTGGAGTTCAATGTGTCCACTACTAGCAATAGAGAGTGTACCGTTAGCTGTCCTATAGTCAACAAGTTTGATCCGACTAACGACGACCCATTTTCCAAGACACGTAAATATTCGGTTAGTGATCTACATGTCTCAGGTCTTTCAAAACTGCTTTACGGAATGTAAAGTTTGGTTTCTTGAAAATTAGTCTGAATTAATCAGTATCAGAGTTAGAATAATTGATTTTTTGTCAAGCATTTTCCTAAAGAATCTGCTGAGAAATGTGCCTTCTAAATAGATTTTTCCACCAATTAATATTTAACTTAAAACAATACGGTAAGTGAAATATATCATGTGTTTAGTATGAATTGGAGAGGATTGGATGTGGGGAAGACAACATTTGTCAACCAGATATAAAGATTTCTGTCTCATCACCGGAGAGCATCATAACTGGACCACAAGCAGAATACGTCATAGACATCACTATTAACAATGAAGGCGAAACCTCTTATGATACAGCGATCAACGTCACATTTCATTCTAATTTGACATTGGCCAACACAGGAAACTTCAGCGAAGATTTCCCTGTGACCTGTTCTCCTGCTGTTGGTTCGGTGCAGTGCTTTCTGGGTAGGCAACAGTTAAAGACAAATGAAATGTTCAGTTTCAGGATCACACTTGACAGCAGGAGACTGCTGCCTGTGATTGACGAGTTTGAGATGAAGGTGGAAGTAAAGTCTAGCAGGAATGATAACAGTATGGAGAGCAAGATGTATAATAAAACAATCAAAGTACTGACAGTGGTGGCAGTCACTTACAACATGTAAGTATGTAATGTTTTTTTCAAATACTTATTTTTCTATCTGAAACTGGCTTCATCGACATGTAAGTAGAAACATGTCATGGAATTTAATTCATAAATTCATTCAATAGATGATTTAACGTAGAACTGATCGTGTATTTTGCTTGGAAACATAAACAATTTGTTGTAAAGCAAGAGACCCTCTCCACAATAGCGAACACATCCTTTCAAAACCCAAAACATTTGAGCAAAAATAGAGGAAAAAATTAACAGAGACAGATGACAGTTTTCTTTCAAATACATCAACCATTATGCATAATTAAACATTTTGAATTTTAGACTGAAGTTTTTTTTGGTCCCAAACGAAAATTCATCTGTATTTAAAAACAAACCAATATTGGCTATTTACATCAGCAATTTTTTAAATTAGTATAGAAGTTGTGATTCACGAATAATCTGGAATTTTAGAAAATCTTCTGTTTTCGTATGTTCTTCCCTAGTTAACCTTTACATGGCTGTTTTAGAGCATCTGTTCCTGAAGTTTATATTACAAAGACAGCCCCAGAAAGTCCCATTGTAGAAGTATATCACAGCATACAGATCGTTAATACTGGACCTAGTGATCTGCTGGACATATTAAAATTTACCCTTGAATATCCACAGTCAAGCCAAGTTAAACCAACGAAAATCGTAAGTTGTCAAATACAAAATAATGACTTTTAAACTAATTCCATTTGACTTTTTGAGAAAGGCTGATATATTCAGTTTTAGGGATCTGACAAGATAAGAATTGAGACTAAGATAAGGAATATAAAATATTACAACTTTAAAGTTCATTTAGCGGTGATCATATTTAAGCACCTTTGGTGAAGCTTCTTGTTCGCTAATTCAACTACTTGCTATTATATGATTAAAGAAACACCTGGAGAAACTTTGCTCAAACGCGCTATAATAATTGTAATTACACTAAATTGATGGGGAAAACTGTGCTGAATTGTTATTTATGTTGAACAGGCAAACATCTTTAGTTTTCTATAATTATTTTATTTAGCTTTTGAATGTTTCCTCCGCAAATAACAACACTTTGGTACGATGCCAGAATGTTGTCCTAGAACCAGAAGGCGAGACAAATTTGACCTACAGAGCTTTTACTATTCCCATTAACAAAACAAGGCACTCAGAGTCAGCCAGCAATTTTGTAAGAAAATATTCAAGATATAGAAAAACACGGTTACAGCAAACACACTTATAATTAATTTACTCTAAAAGCTAAGTGGTTTCATTCCCTCTAGTTTTGGAAATGAAAACATTATAAACTAGATGAATATAAGAAATCAAAATTGTGCATTCCTTGCACTTCGCTATAAGCGTTTTTTACTGTACATTTATTTCACTTCTTGTTTATACTTTTTCCTGTATTTTTATTTTGGTAAACGTAATATTTAAAAACAAATATCGAGTAAATTCCAGAGATGAAGGTGTTATTATGATTTTACATCAGGATTGTGAGAAGAGTGAAATGTGCAGCAAACTGGAGTGTGATATTGGAACGTTTATGTATGACAGTTTTATATCGGTGGTCATTTCCTATGATGTCATCCAGAACCTGTATGCAATTATTAATGTGAGTATATGGAGCCATGTGCTATATCACCATATGTATGTTCTAATGCTACTAGTAAAGTACAAAATGTTACGAATTCTTTAGTTAAAAAAAATGAGATCGTCTGAATAATTTGGTACAATTACGTTTTGTCAAAACATTTAACTGAATCTTAAAAACTTACCTTGGTCAGTATAGAAAATAAATTTGTTTTTTAAAAACTTTTTTAAAGGATGGAGCAAGTGGTGATATACCATTTGTTCCAATAGAAACAACATTTACTCCATACACAGAGAATCCAGGACTAAATTTAAAAGGTCAAGGAGACGGTTTGGTATGTCTGAAATATTAAGAAAAACTGTTGAAAATTTAAATATAGCAACGTTTCACTATATTTTGGTTTTCATCAATCTTTCGTCATTCTATCAGAGAAAACTCTCTTATCTTCATTATATAGCAATTGTAAATGTAAAGTAATTGACATTTTATAAGTAACGTGTTTGGAAAATATCATTACTTCAAAGCATATTTTGTGTGGCACTTTTGATTTAATTTACGCAGTGTATTATATAAATAAACTTACATGTTGTCATAGTCTTAAAAATGATCTTAAATATTCAAGTATTTAAAGTTCTGAAAAAAAGTAGTGTACACTGTTTATCGTCTAACACTGCTCTTTATAAAATCCAAATTATTTCATTAAAATCGGCATATACCAAAAATATTCGTATTTTAAAACATGCTTTGATTTGTTGCTCTACTTAAAACTTAAGAGTACTTGGATATTTTTGAAATTATTTTTGAGATTTAAGATATTTATATTCTTAAATGCATGTATGTTTTACATAAAATATATATAATGAAAATTGTGATCATGATAATTTGAAATCTTAATAATTCTGATATATACATCAGCGTCAAAAGATATCCTCAATTTGACTCACAGAAAATATCCTAGAGTTACATTTTAGGTAAAGGTGGTGACGAAATTTCTTCCCAGTTCACCGATGAAAAAGGAAGTTCCAGTTTGGGCCATAGTTCTACCTATCGTTATTTCTTTAGTTATCCTAGTAGTTGTCGTTCTTGTTCTGAAAAAGGTATGTTGTAAACATTTTAGGATCATGTTGACCATTGCATGTTTCCCAAACAATTATCAAAAAAAGGAGTCGAAAAAATCGTTCATTTTTTGTGTCGTCATATACGTATGTCCCCAAGAGAGTATAACCTGATTTGAAAAATTGCAAATGTTCAGAGAGAGAGAGAGAGAGAGAGAGAGAGAGAGAGAGAGATGCTTATGAGAGGGACTAATCCTGCGCAATAGTTTACAAAGGGGTGGAATATCTGTTCAAAATGATCTTGAAAGATTAATAAAGATAATTATATGATCATTTTGCAGAGAGGATTTTTTGTTAGAAAATATAAAGTACAAATTGAGGACCAGAGAGCACGTGAGAAGAAGATCAAAGAAAATGACAGGGTAGATAATTTAGTGGGAACGGATGATGAAGTCGAAGAAAAGCCTGTATTGTCAACTTTTGTAAACACCAATAAAAATAAAGATGAAACAGAGGAAGATAAGCTGGGCTCGCTCGAGGATAAAGGTAAAAATGAATGGAGTTGCTTTAATAGTTTTTTGAAAAATGCAGTTTCTGTACATTTTGTGATGAGTTGTCATGTCATATTTATTGATATTCAAGTTTTATTGAAATGACAGGCCTGGAACCACCATCGACTGCAAAGGAAAACGAATTAGAAACAAGGTCTGAATGTATATCTATATTCCTTATATTTATGTTTTTATTGGCAATTTGTTGAAATCGTTTTATAATGTCGCACTTCAGATTAAATAGAATGCGTCTCGGTTTCAGATTTAAAAATATGTGTTGGATGTGTGATTAGATTAGAATAATAAGAACCCATATGCTAGCTAGACACTAATTATCTAAAATATGTTTTCAACAAAGACGGTCACTAAACAATTTTCATAATCCCTAACCACTGACGCCTGACGCAATGACAGCCCCAGAAAACTATATCCATGTCAGGTACTTGACATTTGACTTGGCGAAATTTGAATTCAGTTTATCGAGAAATTAACACACTTACTTAAACGAGTTATAAAAGAGAAACCATTTGGAAATGTAAATATTTACTATCAACAGTATTTATAAAATTATTTTCAGATACAGATCCCTGTATCTTTTTTCTGCATTTGTAATCTCTTTTGCGGAAACATGAGCCTGGTTTGTTCTTATCATAAATGTCAATAGATAACTCTTGTTTACACGGCATTATTAAATTACATAAACATTTCTTCAACGGAACTAAGTAATTGCAATAAAAATCTGAATTACTATAAATTAAATATTTTTTGATAAGGATATAAAAATACTGTTATAAATGGAATCTTAAACAGGTTTTTAACAAAAATAAGTTGCTCAATATGGTGTTACTTTTAGTATGTTGCACGTGTTTTAATTTGAAGTATGTAAACATCACATGTTTTCCTACATGTATTCTCGATAAACAATACTGTTTTCAATATCAATTTAGATATTAATGATTTAAGATATCCATAATAAGTACATGCATGTATTTAGTAGTGCATCATTCATTGCACCTGATCCCATCTCTGTTTTCAGATGTCCGTGCTTGCTCTGCTCACAATTTATATTGTTTTATTTGACTTTGAGTGTGATTGCCGTTCGTTTTCTTTAGATTTCATTCAATACATGTACACACACTATTGTTGAAAACATCTCTTTTAAATTGTTCCTGTTAAATAAAAGGATTTTTTTTTCAATTGAAAGAAAATCCATTATTTCATTTTGTGCATAAATTAATAATTATTTTAATGAATGAAATAAATTACACTTTCAACTCTTTGTGTACTAATGGTGTAAAAATACTTCTAAATATAAAGTTTTATTTCATTTTTAAGTCCTTTTTCAAAAAATAAAAATAATAAAATAAAATAAAATAAATGAATAGATAAATAAATGAAATGATGGTTGTTTACTAAATGCTTTCAGATATTGTTCATTTTACTGAAAATAATCCGTACAGACCTTTCATTTTGTTTATTCATTTTGTTTATTTTATTTTTTTTTTTTGGTTTTGTTTTTTTTAATTTTTGAATGAGGACTTAAAAAACTGAAGCGTTTATTTATTGATGTGATCCCTCTTACCTAACTGGAGAGGCAGCTGAAAACTAAATGCACATATACAATGTTGATATATTTATCAAGCAGCTGATAAAATAATCCTTCCTGTCTTACAGCAAATCGGTAGTCATTAATGAAAAAGAACTACTTCTCCCTGCACCACCAAGTACAAGCAATGTTGAGTTTGACACTGATACCCAAACGACGAGCAATGGCGAAAACGTTCCTAATGTTCAAAAGTCGAATAATGGCGAGGGTGTCCCTGGTGATCAAAAGACGAGCAATGGTGAGGGTATCCATTACACTCAGACGGCGGGTAGTGTTGAAGGTCACTCGGAAGGACATGGATAAATGATCGTGTAGAAATAAAACCAAAACTTCATATTCTTAGAATTCATTGTGATATAGTTTATAGAATAATCACGCTAAAATTAAATGTCTTGTTCCATGTGGTATTATAAACATCAAGAGCCAGTTAAATTTTAATCAATTTCAATCGATTTCGAGGGATCCTGAAACTTTTAAGACATCATGCTGGTAAAAATTAAACATATTGTATTTATCTCTCTTGTTCTCTTTTTGTGAAAGTTGTTAAACACAATGAACAATTTTATCCATCCTTATTTCTTACAATTTTAGTACATGTATTTGACATCATAAAAAAGAAACAAATGGAACATATTTGTTATATTTAGAAAACAATAATTTTATAGAGATAAAGTCGACATGATTGATATTAGCTCCTCCGAAAATTATTGACAGTCATTTAAGTACAGTTCTGTGTAAAAATCATGCAAAATAGGCATTTAGGTGATATATGAGGGTTCTCAGAATTTGATGATTTTCCACACATAGTTTTCTTTTGCCCTATGAAACATGTATGCAAAAGGAAAAATGTTTTGATTCACGGTTACCATGGAAACATGGGTAGAGAAATTTCCCTAGCAACCAGCCAATTTTCAGCTTCGATGGACTAAAAAATCTCATATCTTTCAGGCTCAAAATATATGTAAATACTAAAAGAATTCCTTTTTCATTGCTGTTATTCTCAAGATATTGATCTTTACAGTTTTCACAATCAAAAATATAGAAATAAGATTTAAAGATTTATCTGTGATAGATGAGGGAATATATGCATGTTTTTCCTTTTTTGCTGACTCAGCATTTTCCTTGATTTTGGAATTATTCAATGCCTAATTACTCCAGTGATGGACCTCATACAGACATCCTGTGTATATAACATTAAAGCAGAGGATTTTGTCTTTCAGAATTTGAATTCAGAAGCGTATAATTTTTTGACATTCCTATCCGTTGCCTAGCAACAAAAATGGATGTTTTGATGAATAAAAAGAGAAAAAAATGTAAAATGCTAAAGTCATAAATCACATAATTTGTTATCTTTGAATACTCAAAACATATTTTACAATAAATTGAACTTTTTGAGACCTCTCTGCAAACTATGGAATGTTTTACAATTTGTAATCTCCATGGTAACAGCAATTTCCCCTTAGCAACAGATCATAGAACAATAATTTTAGCATCTTCACATACCCTTTGTTAAGGATTTTTCAAAGCATGCTGTAAAATTGTGATTAGGCAAATATTACAATGCAATTAACATCTTATGAAATTCTTTTTTTCACTTCATTTTTCCATGGCAACGATTCTGAGCACATAGCAACCAATGTATCCTATGTAGAGTTAAGAGTCATTCTCTGTAGGAATTTCAATTGTTTTGATACTCAGAGTCAAGATTACAGGACATTGTTATGCAAAATCATTGCTGGTACAAAATATACATAAATATTTACATTTGCAATTAAGATGTAAAAATTCATACTAAGAATGTTACCATGGTAACGGGTAAAAACATTTTTAGCTCACCTGAGCCGAAGATTCAAGTGAGCTTTTCTGATCGAAATTTGTCCGTTCTCTGTCGTCGTCGTCATCGCTGTCGTTGTGAACTTTTCACAATTTCATCTTTTTCTCCAGAACTACTGGTCTAATTTCAACCAAACTTACCAGAGAGTATTCTTAGATAAAGGGGATTTAATTTGTTCAAATGAAGGGCCACGCTCTCTTCCAAGGGGAGATAATTACAAATTAGTAAAAAATTGATGGCATCTTTTAAAAATCTTCTCTCAAGATCCACTGGACCAGGAAAGATGAAACTCAGGTGGAGTCATCCTCAGCTAGTGTAGATTCAAGTTTGTTAAAATTAGTAAGGTTGGGCCACAATGGACGATCAAAGTTTTACATAGGAATATATAGAAAAAATCTTTAAACATCTTTTCAATTACAACAAAGCCATAATTAATCATCCTCATAACTGGCATCCTCAGGTGGTGTAGATTCAAGTTTGTTAAAATCAAGACCCCCAGGGGTAGGGTGGGGCCACAATCGACGATCAAAGTTTTACACAGGATTATATAGTGAAAAAAATTAAAAAATCTTCTTAAGAACAGCAAAGCCATAATTAGTCATATTTATATTGAAGCATCCTTAGGCGGTGTAGATTCAAGGTTGTTAAAATCATGAACCACGAGGGTAGGGTGGGGCCACAATGGACGATCAAAGGTTTGCATAGAAATATATATAGGAAAAATCTTCTCAAGAACAGCAAAGCCATGATTGGTTATTAACTATTCGGAAGTATCCTAAGGTAGTGTAGATTCATATTTGATAAAGATCATGACCCCCTGGTATATATAAATATCCCCTGTGGATATATAGGGTCACAATTGATGATTAACGTTAAGCATAGGAATACATAGGACATTTTTTTAAAAAAAATATTGTTCTCAAGAAGAGCAAAGCTATGATTAGTCATATTTTTATAGAAGCATCCCCAGATACTGTAGATTCAGAGTTGTTCAAATCATGACCCTCGGGGGTAGGGCGGGACCATAATGAAAGTTCAAACTGGTGGTGAAAAAAGTCACAATTAGGCAAAGAAATATGAAAGTATCTTTAGTTAGTGCAGATTCATTTTTGTTCAAATCATAGCCCCCCCCCCCCCTTTAAGGGGTAGATTGGGACCACTTATGCATTAAAGCTTTTCAATACTGAACTGATTTTTGTTTTTTTTCCCTAGCCACAGTGCTCAGATGAGCAATGTGGCGCATGGGCCTCTTCTTGTTTATATTATTTCAGTTTTATTTCTCCATTTTCATTCAGAGCTCATTGATATTTCTAAATTTAAAAAAAAAGAAATATACAAGCACGGGTTTTCAAGTTTTGAAAAAGAAATATTAATGCACTTCGTTAATTATTATTTCATGAAAGAAATAAAATCTTTTTTTTTAATTAAAGTATTTTATAAAATAAATGTTCACATTTTGGCGTAGTACATTTTCTGAACTTTTTACTATGCTTGTACCGGAAATCTGATGTGGGATTTCCATGGGGGGGAAAAATCCTACTATAGAGTCATTTTTCCGTGGGGGAAATTCTACTCTAGAGTCTATTGTCTGGGGGGGGGGGAATCCTAGTCTTGAGCCAGTTTTCCGGGGGGGGGGATTGTAGAGGGGAAATCCTACTTTACAAGACTGGTAGATAATGAGCTGATTTTTGGTATGTCTCTTGATATTGTTGACTTACAAATCAGGTTTCGAGTTTCTTTGGTCCATTTTGCTCAGCAGAGCAGCAGATGGCTCAAGCATCTTTTTATCGTTCAAATCGTTCGTGGAGCCACAACAATGATCAAAGTTATACAAAGGAATACAGAAAAACATGCTTATAGATAAGGAGTTTACATATGAAATGACGCTTACAGCTAAGTGATCTGTGGGCTAAGAAAATATTTGGTACTGTACTTTATCAAATGAGTTGCAATGGTGTATATTCCCAATGTTTTCCGAGTGAATATACACAATTTAAACGACGTGTATAAAGCTAATACCACGTAATACAATTATAGATGTTTTACTAATCGCTCAATTATAGATATTTTAGTTATCTCATAAGATTTTCTTTTTCACAAAAAAAGAAGATAATCCCTGTAAAATGATGTTAATATATTTCTATTTAAATCGACGATGCGTCAATTGATGACGTCGCACTGTTAACGTTGAAATGCTGAAAGAGAGTTTTTTGTAAATCTATACAAAATATGAAATCTTGGAATGATATTTGCTACGTCTTTGAAAACATATGTGACAATTTGTTGAAGATTCATTTTATACAAACTTTTGGTTTTGAAGTTGTACATGTTGTAAAGACCGATGAATCATTAAATGTAACCCTGCTCTGTAATCATTCTGTGTATGGTGACAGTGCTAAACCAGCTATTTGTAGAATCATGGTAAGTTATAAAGTATAATGTAAGAAAGTATTAATGAAAGTGGTTAGACTTTCCTGAATGATGAAATGAATCATGCAACGCCATCTTCACTGATAGGCCTAATATGTTTCCTGTGAGAAAATGTTGGTGGTGTGGGGGGTGGGGATAACATTCATATTTACAGTAGTCAGTTTAAAAAAAGAATAAAATTTTGTTGAGGTAAAACGAGAGCTTTCTTGTTTTTAACAAAATGTTTTCTCATTATCATTTATGTTAAAACGTAAGGACTTTCAAAAATAAAAGTTTCGAAAATTTTATGCTTGAAGCATGGGATTGGGTCAAAACTGGAAGTGCTATTTATAAAGCATACGCAAGGATAAAACATAACTTTATCTTATGGGTAGTATCCACCACAAGTATGACATTAAACGTAATTAGTTTAATCCCACACATGTGGTGGATACTACCTATAAGATGAACTTATAATGTATTAAAATTGGCTATCCCTGGTACTTCGGTATAAGCATGTTTTACTATATATAGAAAAGTTTAAAAACAGCACAGTCATGATTAGCCATTTTAGTTCAAAAGCATCCTAAGTGCAAATTTTAAGTTTGTCGAAATCAAATGTCCCCGGGCTTAGGGTGAGGACCACGATAGAAGATCAAATGTATAGGGAAAATCTTATAAAGCTATGATTAGGTAAATAGATATGGGAGCATCTTTAGATAGTTAGGCCTTTGTTTTGTCAAACATTTGGACCAATATTTTATTTAAAGTTTTCAATACTGAACTGTGTTCTAATTTTTAAGCCCAAGTGCTAAGGTAAGTAGTGTAGCCAATGGGCCTCTTGATACAAAAGTTATAGACATTAGACTTAGTTTCTAATTGTCAATAGACAAGGCTATAATTATAGGCAATGCCTGCTGCCTAATATATTTATGTAGATCATATTAAAATATGCTCAAATGAAAAATTTCTAGTAATTTACTTTTTTTAAATGTTTGGCTGTAGAGCTGATTTCTAGTTTGTCTTATAATATTGATGACTGACAAATCAATTCAAGTTTATTGCTGACTGACCCACTTTTATGAAAAAACTTGTATTAGTACCTTGAATGTAAAAAATCCTTTTATTCACTGCTCAGTTCAATAATAAAAATTTCAAATCTTTTTTCTGCTATGCCTGCAGATAATTATAGCTGAAGTTTATTATGTTTTTTTTTTATATCAATGACCAAGATTAGGTTTGACAATCATGATAAAGATAGATATATATAT